CGGCTCTAATACCACTCTGTAACACCCCCAAACATCACATTTGCATATAACACATATTTCATTACATAGAAATACATTTTACACCAGAATGGCCCCACTAGTACAAGGATTCTTATATGTATAGAATCTACATATGAAAAATTCCAAAAATAAAATCATGTACTATCACATGTATAATTATCGGTGCAACACCACAGACTACAATCAGGACTAAAAGCAAGTATACAAATAGTCCCAATATCGTCTTTCAAGTAATAAAAGTGGTACAAATAGCGGATATCGTCCACAGGGATCGTAGTAAAGGTTTAAAACAAAGTAAAGTTAAGAAAATGATTTCAGAACGCGAATTCGAAGACTTAGATTAGAACAGAGTTAATACAACTAAAAATAGGAGATAACAATATAAGAGCAAGCTAGGGTGTATGACTTTTCGGGTGAGATGTAAATACTATTTCCAGTCGACCAATGCTGTCAAAATGCTACAACATGAAACCATGCTGACAGATTGCTACAGCATGCAATCAGTAACAACTATTTTTACCAATTACTTTGAAGGTATTCCTCTCGGATCACCAATGCACTGATATTATTGCTTTCAACCCATATCTCTATGAGGTATCCAGACCAGTGAAAGTGACAAATGGTGTCTTCAAAGTATATGGATAARCAAATCTCTTTGTTAAAAATCACTCTCTCGAGTGGATTCCCATATCATTCAAGTTGACGTGTTCTGAATGGTTCATCTATGAATCCATTCCACTTTAACACTTCAGAGTGATCAACCCGTCGAGAATTAACAACTTAGAAAATACGGACAACAAATATCTTTGTTAGCAACTCTCTCAAGTCTACTTCCCATATCATCCAAGTTGACGTGCAAACAATGGCTCAACTTAGAGTCAACGGCAGTTTAACACTTTCAAAGTGATCAACTCGTCAAGAAGTGTCATTGGTTTTATAAAACTTGAAATGAAAAAGTAAAACATCGTTGTTACATGAAGGGTCGACAATATTTTGGTTTAAAACTCACTCTTTTCGTTATACACCCGAGCTAATAAAATTAGCTACTCATAACGAAAAGTAAATGACAAGAAATATAAATTGCGGTAAATAAAGACATAAAATAAATGCGGAAAGTAAATGACGGAATATAAATGACGGAATAATAAAGATGCAGAAAGCGTTAATAAATAAATGACGGAAATAAAATGCAAGTGAGCGTAAATAAATAAATGACGGAATATTAAAGACGAGAAAATAAAGAAAGCAATAAAGAACTTGAAATGCCAAAAGATTTCTTAATATTTAGAAGACAACTTGTTCTCCAAGTAGTATGGAAAACTACTTGGGAGAAAAGTGTGGAGTAGAAGTGTTGAGGTGTGGTAATGAGGTGTGTCAAATACTCCTCCCAACATCCCTTTTTATACTAGGGATGGAGTGAGGGCAAAATGGTCAATTCACACCCATTTAGTTCAAAAGGAACCAAAAAGTACATATTAGCAAACTAATATTTAGAAAACGACTAAATTAGTCTTTTAAACTCCAGCTAATCTGATTAAACTACAGTTGGTTCAATTTTAGAAGGCTCTCAAATGTCTTCATAATGTCATGTCAGTCAACTCCAAGTCTCATCCATCTCTTCTTCTACCATCAGGTCATGTTACCACATTCCCACAGCATCGACCTGCTTCAATCTGTCCAAAATGAGTTAAATTTAGACCAAAATCCACTAAAACAGGTTCAACATTCTTCTTAGCATAAAAACAGAGAAAAGAGATAAAATGACTCAAAGTTGGTATATAAATGGAAAATAACCTAACTAAATGAGAATAAAAAGGTACTTTACGTACTAAATACTTAGTACGTATCACACCCCCAAACTTAAATTGTTGCTTGTTCCCAAGCAACCAAAAGACAACTAAAAATGACTCAATTTTTGCAAGAAAATGCAGTAAGTGCATACACACATTTTGATTATGCCAAAATGCACCATATAGCTTTCATAAATCTCAAGTAAGCATATCCTAACTAACCATTAGCATGAACCATAAGCTAGCTTTATTTGCTCTTTGTTATGCTCAACACATCATATGTCTAAGATCAATAGGACTTGAAAGTAACTGGTTTACTCTTATTTGGCACATTTTTTCCTTTCTTTGCCTTTTCTCTCCTTTATGCATCAACATTGAATTTTTCAAATTTTTGGCACTTTGTGCTCTTTTGTTGAATGCATTTACACCTGCCCCTATGGGACATTTGTGGTGTTTACACCTGCCCCTATGGGACATTTGTGGTGTTTTAGATCTCAAATATGACTTTGAAGCTTTATGCACTTTGGGCACTTTGATCTCCACTTTTGGCACTTTGTGCTCTTTTGCATTGCTTTAATCAATATAACCATGCTGGTACCCTCCCCCAAACTCAGATTTTTCAATGTCCTCAATGGAAGTATATAGGGGGCTGTTTATGCAAAGGCTACAAGTGGCTAGATTTTGAGAAAGAACAAATGGCCTACATCCTCTCTTAGTTGAGCATATCATGTGGATCAAAATGTGTTCCCAAGCAAAACAAGCTAGTTCTAGTGATACCAAGTGATTAGAAAGTGTAACTAAACTACAAGAATTATCAAACATATGTGTTCTTTGAAAGAAAATAAACTAGAAAATGTAAAAGACTATCCCAGACTCAAGAAAAACAAAATAAGTTAAAATAAAATAAATAAAAGAAGCTAAAGAGGGATGATAGAACCTGTCCTACTCCATAGGAGTAGGTGAAGTGGAGATGTTGTCCTTCAACTTCTTGCATTCCTCCTTCAATCGAGCATTCTCACTAAACAGCCTTGCATTCTCTGCCTTCAATGCCTTCAACTTCTTTCCCAGTTTCTTTACTTGACTACTTGTCTTTGCCTCAAGCTCAGCCCTTACCATCTTGATGTCTCCTCTTGTCTTCTTTTCGGCAGCCCTCACTTGTTCAACCAGCTCTCCCTTCAACCTATCTATCTTGTCAAAGAACTCATTTCTTTGTTCCAACAAGCTATCCATTAAACTGCTGTTTTGAGCAAGCAGGTCTTGCATCAAACACAGCATATCACTTGCTCCATTCCCTTTTTCCTTCTTCTCCCTCAGCCTAGAAACTGTTTTCATGTCAATCTTCCATTTTTCCCCTTGCTTTTTCACCATTTGATCCTCACAATACTGAGGAATTCCATTCTCTACTAACAACCGTGTGATCAAACAAGGGAAATACATCTTCCCTCTACTTCTGCCCGAACATGTCCTAATACTCCTCTCTATCACTCTCCCAAAGTTGATGGACTTACCCGTAACTAGACAATAAAGCAACAACATTCTCTCCACCAAGACTGAGCTGTCATGCGTGGTGGGAGCAATGGAGTGCCTCAAAAAGTTAATCCACACATTTGCATTGGCCGTAAGATTGTAGGCCTTAAAAGTCCTCAACATTTAGTTAGAGTGATCATCCCAAACAGCCCTTGGTTTCCCTATCTCATCAGCCACCTCTGCCAAATCTTCTATAGTCGCATGCCTCACCATTCTAGAGTAATCAGTCTTCTTAGGGGGGTCTAGGCCATACAGCCGATTGATGGCTTTAGAGTTGAACATGAGAGTCATCCCTCTAATAGATATCTTGGACGTGCTATTTGCTGCTAACTCAGAATAGAACTCCCTAATTAGAGTCAGATTATAGGAAGTCAGAACCATGCACATCTTTTCTATACCATGAGCCTCTACCAATCATAATTTTTCATTTTGTTCATTTTTTTTGTAATTATGAGAGATTGATTAACCATTTTTATTGTGGAGGGTGTTAATCATGGATATTATCAT